TTATTGGACCTACATAATGTTGTTCACATTTGACCAGATTACAAGTAACATTTTGCTGAACCAAATTAAACTCAACAACAACAACAAGCTACATGACCTTACACAAGTTCACAAACAGCTCTACAGAACCAAAGCAGAGATCATACTTACAGAGATGATCAAAGGAGGAGTTTGAATCCAGCTTCTGGTTTTACATATCACTCATAAGTTCACCTGTTCACTATCCGAGGCCTTGAGAAATGCGGAGCGAGTCTCTTCTCGAGCTCAACCAAGCTGGAATTTATGTAAAAGGAACATGAAAAAATGATGCTTTATGAGAATGATATCAATTTTTCAGTTTGGGAATTCTGACTTACATCTCAAATCTGCGTTTAGCTTCTTTCTGTTTGGTACGGTAGAGGTCACTGTCTTTTGGTATGTTGCTCATGGGGTCAGCTGGAAATTACGTACCCAAGATTAAGAGTTATGACACTAATAATTACAATCCTTAATGAATAATAGGAATATATGTTTTAAACACTGAAATACACATGAGTGAGTGTTGATGACATGGATCCCAATAGATAATCCAGAGAATGTCACTATGGGATCAACTCCAACCAACATATTTTCAAGATAGAGAGCAGAAAAGTGTTGCATTTTGGTACTCAAGAAAGAAATGGCTATACCAGAGAGCGTAGTCGGGTGTTTGTCGCCAAATTCTTTGTGGACTTCCATAGCAGTTGCTCTGCTCAGGCGGATTAATCCCTGATGGAAAGATAAAAGAGTGATTAGATGCACACTTGCAAGAAAGTAATGAAGAAAAAGGTACCTTCTTCTCCTTCCTTTTAAGTATCTTGAGATGACATTTCTTGACATAATGAGTCAAATGGTAGCGAGAATGCCTAGAAGAGAGTTCTTGCTTGACCTCTGGATTTGCATCAAGCCACTCAGAGATGTCCTTGGATTTGACCAACTCTCCATGATCCAAAGATTCTAACCACGAGTACACTGGTAGCCACTGGTCAGTCCGCTGGAACCGAGCTGGATGCTGGTCTGCTTCATTCTCTTCCGCCTGTTGCTGTCGTTGATTGAACAGACAAGAACAATCAAAACACAAGACAGGTTCTGATTGAACAGACAAGAGCAATCAAAGATTCAATTTTCGAGATATGGAGACAAGAAGGAACGTACCTCGTTCTGATGTGAGGGAGTTGGTCTCATGTAATGTTGGATGGAGAGGAGGCGGTCGACGAGCTCGGAGCGAGGCATGTGGCGGAGATCAGCCGGTAAGGAGTCCAAGTTGGAGCCAATCCAAGTCTCCACTTCGGTGGCGCTTACGACGGCTTTGGCGTCGGGGAAGGCGGAGACCCAAGCTCGAGCCATGGTCTCCCATTCCTGACAAGGCTCCGTTCGCTGGTTCACGTTTGAGATTTTGTCATCCCTTTCATTCTCATTCTCATTTTCTAGGGTTTCGCCTGGACCTGTCGAATTCGACATTTTTTTCTTTTCTCCTGGGGGACTTGTCTTTTAGATTATTACTAGATTCTCACCCGCACTATGTGCGGAAACATTCATTATATATGATGTAAACTAAACTTGGCTTTCTTATTGTATTGGAATATTAATATCAACATAACAATTTTYAATTAGGYGTTTAGCCA